ACTCTGCAAGTGACCTGCGTCTGGCCAACAACCTGAACAACTTCTAATGTCGCTTTGAAAGACAATGGGACAGCCCGGAAACCAACAACTCCACTCCACAACTTTGTTTGAGGTGTTAATAAGACAGAACCCTCGCAAAGCAGCTGGACCAGACTCTGTCTCTCCCTCTATCCTGAAGCACTGTGCTGATCAGCTGTCTCCAGTCTTTACAGACATTTTTAACAGCTCACTGGAGACATGTCATGTGCCAGCCTGCTTCAAGTCCTCAACCATCATCCCTGTCCCCAAAAAGCTAAGGACCACAAGACTTAATGACTTCAGACCCATCACCCTGTGGTGATGAAGTCTTTTGAGCGCCTTGTGCTCTCCCACCTCAAAAACATCACAGACCCTCTCCTGGACCCCCTGCAGTTTGCCTACAGAGCCAACAGGTCTGTGGATGATGCTGTCAACCTGGCCCTTCACCACATCCTCAAGCATCTGGACCCAGCAGGAACCTACGCCAGGATCCTGTTTGTGGATTTCAGCTCTGCTTTCAATACAATAATCCCGGCTCTGCTCCAGGACAAGCTCTCCCAGCTGAAAGTGCCTGAGTCCACCTGCAGGTGGATCACAGACTTCCTGTCTGACAGGAGACAGCAAGTGAAGCTGGGGAAGAGTGTTTCGGACAGCAGGACTATCAGCACTGGCTCCCCTCAAGGCTTCGTTTTTTCTCCTCTGCTCTTCTCCCTGTACACCAACAGCTGTATCTCCAGTCATCAGTCTGTCAAGCTCCTCAAGTTCGCAGACGACACCACCCTCATTGGACTCATCTCTCGTGGTGATGAGTCTGCCTACAGGTGGGAGGCTGACCATCTGGTGATCTGGTGCGGCGAAAACAATCTAGAGCTTAACGTTTTGAAGACAGTGGAGATGGTTGTGGACTTTAGGAAAAATGCAGCCGCCCCCAGCCCCATCACCATCGATGAATCCATGGTGTCTAATGTGAAGTTTTTCCGCTTCCTGGGGACCATCATCACCCAGGACCTCAAGTGGGAGCTGAGCATCGGCTCCCTCATCAAGAAAGGACAGCAGAGGATGTACTTGCTGCGGCAGCTGAAGAAGTTCAACCTGCCAAAGACCATGATGGTTCACTTCTACACTGCCATCATTGAGTCCATCCTCTCCTCCTCCATCACAGTCTGGTAGCGCATCATCCGCTCTGCTGAGAAGGTGATTGGCTGCAACCTGCCATCTCTCCACGACCTGTAAACCTCCAGGACCCTGAGGCGTGCAGGTAAGATTGTGGCCGACCCCTCTCACCCCGCACATGGACTGTTTGAGACTCTCCCCTCTGGTAAGAGGCTGCGGTCCATCAAGACCAAAACCTCTCGCCACAAGAACAGTTTCTTCCCCTCCGCTGTCAGCCTGATGAACAATGTCCCTGCTCCCCCCCTCCTCCCACATAACACAGACTCTCATCAGCCCCACAGTCAGTAAAACATCAAAGTAATGTGAATGCTGAACTGTTCTTTATGAGCTACATTAACGCCCACTGGACTTTAAATTTATTTTCCTTGCATGCACTCTGTGAGTAGGTTACATACACTGTAAGATTTTTCTCATAGTCCACAGCACAGCTCCTACATTGCACCTTTTGTACATTTTGTGTTTTTATTTTTTACATTTTATATTTTACATTTTTAAATTATATTTGATATATTTTAATAGCTTCTTATACTGTATTATTTAAGTTGTTGCTAGTTTTGCTCTATTTCCTTGTTAATTGTTTAGAACCAATACACCAAGTCAAATTCCTTGTATGTGTAAATGTACAGGGCAATAAAACCCGATTCTGATTCTGATTCTGATTCTGATCATGGTTCATGCAGGTGACAGGTCCTGATAGTATCATGGTGACATGGTCCTGATAGTATCATGGTGACAGGGTCCTGCTAATGACAGGGTCCTGCTGGTGAACTCAATTAGTTGTTCATGATTGATCTGTTTGCTCTGGTGAGACTAATTCAGGTAGAGGTGCTGTTATGACTTTGGTGGTCCATGTGTGAAGGCTTAACAGACTGAACTGAAGAGACTCTTTTTGAGTCCAAAGTTGGTCCATATTAAAGTATGAAATAAACTACTGTATTTGTGTGTTAGTATCTAACCCTTTTTTAAATATTGTCTGTCCTATAGGGGGCGTATTAAGCACCTTGACGTGGTGACTCTCTTGCGTAGGATTCCTCCTCCTCTGGGTTTTGGAAAGTTTTGTCCACATCGAATCGCCTGCAAGGTGAGAAACTGTTGCACCTGGTGTCAGGTCAACATCGAGTTGGTATAAACGCTTCACAACGTTCACACACCATGACGCTTACATCCTCTGATATCTAACCATGACCCCAACTTCCTGTGATATCTAACCATGACCCCAACATCCTGTGATAGCTAACCATGACCCCAACATCCTGTGATAGCTAACCATGACCCCAACATCCTGTGATAGCTAACCATGACCCCAACATCCTGTGATAGCTAACCATGACCATGACCCGCTGTTGAACGCCATTGACAACTGTGTAGTAAAAAGGTGAAATTTCTCCATCTCTCTCTCCGCTCACTCTAATAAATGCAGAAGGAGGCACATTGCACTCAGTTGGCGGTAAATGCGGTGCAGTACCTCTAAGTATTTATAAGAGCTGTGACGCTCAAATTTTCCAGTGATCAGGAAAACACTTTCACCTCTTTATGCCTTCAAAATAAAAGCTCTGTAAATAATGGATTAACATAACCAGGGGTTAAATCAGTCTGGGACTGTCAGCGCTCTGGAGCCTTTACCATGACAATGCAAGATTTCCTCCTGTTTCAGTTTCCTTTGATTGCTCCATATAGCGAACTTACAGTGTGTGTGTGTGTGTGTGTGTGTGTGTGTGTGTGTGTGTGTGTGTGTGTGTGTGTGTGTGTGTGTGTGTGTGTGTGTGTGTGTTACAGAGGCTGGTGTCTATGAACATGCCCCTGAACAGTGACGGCACAGTTACCTTTAACGCCACGCTGTTCGCTCTGGTCAGAACGGCTCTGAAGATCAAGACTGAAGGTCAGTGTGTGTGTGTCTGTGTTACACTTTGTGTAAATTGGCTGAGTGGTGTTGATGAACCAGCAGCTCATGGTGTGATTTTTAGGATTTTTCTGTCTGTTCAGGAAACTTTGAACAAGCTAATGAGGAGCTCCGAGGGATCATCAAGAAGATCTGGAAACGAACCAGCATGAAACTCCTGGACCAGGTCATCCCACCAATCGGAGGTCAGAGACTGACGGACAGTAACATCTGGATCTGATATGAGGATGAACTCTATGAATACATAAGCTCGGTATTAAAACTCTGTGTGTTCTCTCAGACGATGAGGTGACAGTGGGGAAGTTCTACGCCACCTTCCTGATCCAGGATTATTTCAGGAAACTGAAGAAGAGACAGGAGGAGTACTACGGTTGCCGACCCACCAAGAACAACGCCACACATGAGATTCAGGTGAGCTCAGCATGAGCTCAGCATGAGGTTGATTTCTGATGATTGCTTGAAGACTAACAGGTGTTTGTGTGGATCAGGCCGGTCTGAGGAACATCGAGGAGGAAGCAGCTCCTGAACTTCACAGAACGATCTCTGGAGACCTGGTCACCGAGGAGGAGATGGAGCGAGCCATCGATGAAGCTACTGACACCATCTTCAGGGTGACAACGACACTGGAAGTGTTTTAACAGAATAGGGATAAACAGTTCCATCTGACACAGGATTTAAGATTGGCATCACACCTGTATCATACCTGTATCACACCTAACACCTGTATCACATCTAACACCTGTATCACACCTGTATCACACCTAACACCTGTATCACACCTGTATCACACCTAACACCTGTATCATACCTAACACCTGTATCATACCTAACACCTGTATCACACCTGTATCATACCTAACACCTGTATCACATCTAACATCTGTATCACATCTATATTATACCTGTATCACACTTGTATCACACCTAACACCTGTATCACACCTAACACCTGTATCATACCTAACACCTGTATCATACCTAACACCTGTATCACACCTGTATCATACCTAACACCTGTATCACACCTAACACCTGTATCACACCTATATTATACCTGTATCACACCTAACACCTGTATCATACCTGTATCATAACTTTATCACACCTATATCATACCTGTATTGTACCTGTATCATCCCTGTATCATACCTGTATCACACCTATATCATACCTGTATCATATCTGTATCATACATTTATCACACCTGTATCACACCTGTATCATAACTTCATCACACCTGTCTAAAACCTGTATAGTATAACACCTCTCTAACATCGAGGCTGTCTAACACCTGTCTACACCTGTCTAACAGCTGTATAGTATAACACCCGTATATCGTGTCACAGAGGCAGGGCAGTCTGTTTGGGAACACTGAGCCGTTTCCTGGAGACACAACCCAGGACACAAACCAGAGGCCCCTGCAGATGACTGAGGGAAACCCCAACAACAGAGCACATCGAGACAGGTACCGCAGTGTGTGTGTGTGTGTGTGTGTGTGTGTGTTTACTGTGCTCTGACTTTTTGTCTTTTTTTCAGTCTTTATTAAAGTGTGAGGAGCTGATCTCTGATTGGACGACCTGATGGATATGAACTCTTCCTGTTGAAATATTTCAAATAAAAATCTGTGAAATGCTTTGACTGTTTGTCTGCTTGTTATTCCACGTTTACATTTTTACTCTAATGTTATTAAAACAGCTGATCATGCTCCAAATCACATCTGTATTTAATGACTTCATGAACTTCTGATCAGGTGAGCCTCAGTTTTACAGCTGGGTCATCAAACAGTCACCTGTTCGTGATTCAGCACTTTGTTTTCATTCATTAAAGGGACACTGCCTGAAACATTAATTTAAAGACACAGCACCCCCTAGTGGTTACAGGATGTCATTAGGATTAAGATTAACTTTATTGTCCCAGTGGGAAATTTGTCTTGGACTTCACAGAGCTCTGATGCAGTAGCAAAAAATAACAAAATACATGAATTTGTTGGTAAAACATGTCAGTTAAATAATCATTAAATTCCATACAAGTGAATTACTAAAACCATAAATATGTAATAGTTATGAAAAGTGATAACAGTGCAGGTACATCTACACATCTTCACACACACACTCACACCACCTCATACATGCACACGTATACACACACATTACAGCTTAGGTGCTGTTGAGGGCTTTGATGGACAAGGGAACAAAGGTATGTCTCAAACGGTTGTTCCTCCCTCGGGGTACCCTGTATCGTCGGCCTGAGGGGAGGAGCTGTTACTCAGGGTGAAGAACATGAGATGGGTCTGAGATTATTTTTTGTGCCTGTCTGATTATGGTTTGTTGAAAGATGTCTTGGAGGCTGGGGTGTTGATGAACTCCCATGATTTTCATGGCTGTCTTTGTGAGTCTGTTGATTTGGGCTTTTGACTGAACGGTCAAATTTCCAAAACATGCAGAGATTTGGAAATTTAACCGTTCATGTTCATGTTGTCACTGTGAGCTGCAGCTCCTCACCTGTTGAAGGTATCCTCGTCAGATTTACTCAGTGAGAGCTTATGAATGTTGTCTTCAGAGTTTATGTCAGGGGGCGGGGCTTCGCCTCAGTTAGTCATCATCGGATCTAAACTAACATTTTTGTGACGTCTGAGCCCAAATTCATCTCTGTGTTTACATTTTAAAAAGTTATAGTGCCCCGTACAGGCAACATAAGCAACTGTTAATTTAACCTCACCTGTGACTATTACAAAGTTTAATATATCCCTTGTGGTGGAGTTTCTGTACCTATTTAGACTTAAATGTATAGACAGTCAGACCTGATGGTGTTCAGCTGTGACAAGATGAACACGGACAGCTCAACGGGTTTCTCTCATCAACGTTTGGCTCCAAATTGTACTTGACATCACAAACTAGTTTAGGTGGGTCAATGTGACCCGGACGTCAATAATGTCTTTTTCATATAGGCAAAGCCTTGGTGGAGGGCAGAATGAGTTGCAAGGCACTAAGCAAGGTGAGAAGTAAGTCTCCTCATGAGCATTCTGCAATTCTACAATTCACTTAGCAGACACTTTTATCCAAAGAGTCGTACATCAGAGAGTAAGTATAACACAAGCAAGGATCTAGGAAAAAGGGAACAATGTCAGTAAGAGCAAATGATCAGCTTTGAGTTCGATTGGACACACAGGTGCTGACAGGAAGTGACCAGAGGCAAAGCATAACATTGAGGGCAGTTCTTGAGAGCTCTAATCAGTATAGAAACCATCTTATAAGTCGTCGTTATCAAACAAAAACCATCATCCCAACCATCATCATTATCAATAATATGGAGACCATCATCATTAAGTTAGTAGGTATTCATGAAAGAGCTGGGTCTTTAGCTTTTTCTTAAAGGTGCAGAGGGACACTGCAGATTGAATGGAGTTTGGAAGTTCATTCCACCACTGGGGGGCGACAGAGGAGAAGAGTCTAGTCAGCGTCTTAGGACCCTGTTGTGAAGGTTGGATCAGACGCCTTTCATTGGCAGAGCGTAGTGGACGGGAGGGAGTGTAGACCTGGATGCAGAGGGGTGAGCAGTTCTGAGTCAGAATTAAATCAAGAGTGTTGCCGTGGTGTTCCATCATCAGGGATTTCTGAGAGTAGCATTCATTTTATAAACAACTGAATCATTACTGTGTGAAGTCAGGTCTTAGTCATTTCCTCAACATCCCTCTCCAATTTGTTCAGAATGGTGATAAGCTCAAAGGCCTGTTGCCATGTCAACCCACTACTCGCTGTGGGGACTGTATTTTATTTTTGATTTTTGATTTTTTTAAGGGCCCGAGCACGCACAGGGTGCGAGGACCCTATTGTAACCCAAGGAATTATTATTATCATATAGCCTTAAATCATTTCATCATCACCCCTCCCCCCCGGTATCTCCCCCTGGTGTCTGCCCCCCGGTGTTCCCCCTGATGAACCTCCCCCCCACCCCATCCATTTGTTTCAGGTGTGTTTTGGGGGGAAAAAAGAGTTCTTATGTATTCAGGCCGATAAGGTTTATTTTTGATGTTCACCATAGATCAGCTTAAACAGTAAAACAGGTTCTACTTATTTCTCTCGTGTGTCCTACATGTTTTCTTAACAGTCCATCAGGACCCGCCCACAGGTAGACGGGGCAGGCAGATGTAGGCGGAGGCGAACAGGTTAAGGTCGAAGGGGTTTCCGTCCAGGCGGATGTCCTCCAGATTTCTGCGAATGAAGTTTCTGTCGTGTCGGTGACAGAATGTGTCGACATGCAGAGACTGGATGTTGTTGTTCTGATCGAGACAGAAGAGTAGAGAAGAAGTCAGAGAACCATCGATATGATGAATGAATGAGATGAATGAATGAGAAAGATGGTGGACTGAGACACAAAGGAAAAAGATTACAGAGGTGTGTGTGTGTGTGTGTGTGTGTGTGTGTGTGTGTGTGTATGTGTGTGTGTGTGTGTGTGTGTGTGTGTGTACCTGCAGGTGTAACACTCGGAGGCTCAGGGGAAGCGGTGTGGGGATATAATCCAGATTATTGTTGGACAGATACAGGAACTCCAGCTGACTCAAGTCCTGCAGAGTGAACAAACACACAGTGTAATAAGAGAGTGTTCTCCAGAGGGAGCTCTGGTGCAGCGTTACCTGAACACGCAGTGAGTGGATATATGACTCATCAGATTCACAGTGATCTTTAAAAAGTCAAGTTAACCTTCTCTGGATGTTTACAGACAGCCAATCAGAGTCCAGGATTCTAATAAAGTTATTCTGCAGCTCACTAAGTACTGCTTCAATCTGAGCATGCTCAGTTTGTGCTTCTGAAACTGTCTGTTATTAGTAATAATTAATGATTATACTAATTTATACCTGTATCATTATTATACTGATTTATATATGAAAATAAACTCATACAGATGAAGCCTAGAAAAACTTCCGCCATTTCTGTATGACTGTAACGAGAACCCCCATGGTGACGCAGTCGATGGCGTCGTCAACGTGACCTGTAACGCCCCTAAGCGTCACTTGAGGAAACTAGTTGCAACGTTAATCTAACCACCAGGAGGAGCAGTGATTATGGAAGCTAAAGGGATTACTGCTAACACACACCTGAGAGAGTTCCTCCCCCTAACACACACCTGTCAGAGCTCCTCCCCCTAACACACACCTGTCAGAGCGCCTCCTCCTTATTCACCTGACAGAGCTCCTCCTCCTAACACACACCTGTCAGAGCTCCTCCTCCTAACACACACCTGTCAGAGCTCCTCCTCCTTATTCACCTGACAGAGCTCCTCCTCCTAACACACACCTGTCAGAGCTCCTCCTCCTTATTCACCTGACAGAGCTCCTCCTCCTAACACACACCTGTCAGAACTCCTCCTCACACACATGATGAATCACCTGGATATTACCTTGAAGCCCTCAGCATGCAGCCCACGGCTGCTCAGCTGGTTGTTCCTCACGTCAATGAGCTTCAGAGAGCGCGGCAGCTCAGGTAGAACCTTAATATTATTATCAGCTAATAGTAAGTCCTCCAGGTGAGACAGAGACACAAACACGTCCTCGTCCATCCCTGAGATCGTGTTCCCCGACAGGTCGATGGACTGCAGACGCTCTGAAAACAAAAACATCACATTTACCTCTACCTGGAGGTAGATCACAGGTCTCACAGGTGAGTTAGAGTTATTTATATAACAGGTGATGTACAGGTGAGTTAGAGTTGTTTATATAACAGGTAATGTACAGGTGAGTTAGAGTTGTTTATATAACAGGTGATGTACAGGTGAGTTAGAGTTATTTATATAACAGGTGATGTACAGGTGAGTTAGAGTTTTTTATATAACAGGTGATGTACAGGTGAGTTAGAGTTGTTTATATAACAGGTGATGTACAGGTGAGTTAGAGTTATTTATATAACAGGTGATGTACAGGTGAGTTAGAGTTATTTATATAACAGGTGATGTACAGGTGAGTTAGAGTTATTTATATAACAGGTGATGTACAGGTGAGTGAGAGTTATTTATATAACAGGTGATGTGTTGTAGTTTTTAATTGCTGTGATCTCAGGTGAGTTTGTCCTCACTCAGGTTCATAAAGTCCGTGTTCTTCACGTGTCGGATTCTGTTGAAACGCCCATAAAAGCGGGTTGTTTCTTTGGGGAGGGGGGGGATCTGGTCCAGACCCGTGTCGTCACAGTACACACTCCCACTGATACACACACACAGCAGACAGGTGGGCATACCTGCAGGTGGACAGTGGGTATGGCTCAACAGAGGAGTATAGAAACATTGAACATGATTATGAACTAACTCTCTGACATACCAAGACCAGTCTCAGGTCCAAACAGACCCGGTCCATTAAAATCCAGAGTGACAGGGGTGGGAGGGTGGGTGGGGAGGGAGGGCTGGGTAGGCGGAGTCACTTCCTCTTCCTGCTCTTCAGGTGTGGGCTGGGGGGGTGGGGCATCGGTGTCAGGGACTATGGGACCCACCTCAATCTGAGAGAGGGAGATCCAGAAAGAGAGAAGTGTTCAGCTCAAAATTTAAGTAAAATAGTCGGATAAACATCGTCTTCACTTGATAACATCCTCAGAGGAGATTAAGCTACGATCAGGACCAGGTCCCAGTCTGATGACCTGTTAGCTAGGATCAGTACCAGGTCCCAGTCTGAAGACCTGTTTGCTAGGATCAGGACCAGGTCCCAGTTTGATGACCTGTTAGCTAGGATCAGGACCAGGTCCCAGTCTGATGACCTGTTAGATAGGATCAATACCAGGTCCCAGTCTGATGACCTGTTAGCTAGGATCAGTACCAGGTCCCAGTTTGATGACCTGTTAGATAGGATCAGGACCAGGTCCCAGTTTGATGACCTGTTAGATAGGATCAGGACCAGGTCCCAGTCTGATGACCTGTTAGCTAGGATCAGGACCAGGTCCCAGTCTGATGACCTGCTAGCCACGATCAGTACCAGGTCCCAGTTTGATGACCTGTTAGATAGGATCAGTACCAGGTCCCAGTCTGATGACCTGTTAGCCAGGATCAGTACCAGGTCCCAGTCTGATTACCTGTTAGCCAGGATCAGTACCAGGTCCCAGTCTGATGACCTGTTAGATAGGATCAGTACCAGGTCCCAGTCTGATGACCTGTTAGATAGGATCAGTACCAGGTCCCAGTCTGATGACCTGTTAGCTAGGATCAGGACCAGGTCCCAGTCTGATTACCTGTTAGCTAGGATCAGTACCAGGTCCCAGTCTGAAGACCTGTTAGCTAGGATCCGTACCAGGTCCCAGTCTGATTACCTGTTAGCCAGGATCAGTACCAGGTCCCAGTCTGATGACCTGTTAGATAGGATCAGTACCAGGTCCCAGTCTGATGACCTGTTAGATAGGATCAGTACCAGGTCCCAGTCTGATGACCTGTTAGCTAGGATCAGGACCAGGTCCCAGTCTGATTACCTGTTAGCTAGGATCAGTACCAGGTCCCAGTCTGATTACCTATTCTGCAAGACGAGGAGAGACGACTTGTGAGGGCAAACCAAAACTCATGAATGAAGCATCATGTTCCCAAAACAAGCAGATTTTATTATTACGATATTTTATTTTACAGAGATGTAATCCTAATAAACAGGCTGAAAGGATGCTGAAATCATGAACCATGTTCAAAGTAACCAACCACATATCTTCCTGGTAGCTCCCTTATGACGTTAAAATGATCAAAAGTGTTTATTGACATGTTGATGTCGGGGGTTCGGGTTTTTAATCATCTTCAGGTAGACTTCAGAACCTGTTTAGAAAGTCTTTTCAGTGAGGGTCAGGTGCCCGTCTGGATCAGTTTTCAGATGGACTGCACAAAGCTGTATTCATGATTTGTTTATTACAAAATTAGAAACATAAAAATGATAACCGGATTCAACCATCCGCTGCAACAATGATTCATTCTCCATTCAACGTGAACATTTGATCAAAAATGAACAGAAAAGGCTGTTTTGTGACACGTTGACGTTTCAGTATTACAAGGTTTTTGATGTTGAGAACTGATTTCCAACTTCTAACACTTTTCCCTCTCTCTGTGGGAACACTAACCCCCTTCAATGATCAATCAGTTCCCACACCCACCCCCCACCCCCCACCCCTCCCCCAATGCACACACACCTCCTGGTCCAGGTCTTCATAGTCATAGCTGTCTCCATAGTTGTTGGAGTCCAGGTTCTCCCAGTCCACCTCACTGGTCAGGTCGTAGTTCTCAAGGTCGAACACTTCTCCATCAGGCTCTCCTGGAGGGGCAGAGAGGGCGGGCAAGGGGCCCACCACCAGGACCAGGACCATGGCCCCCATCAGGGCCCACAGTAGCCTCGTCCTGTCAGACATAGAGACCTGCTGACATAGAGTTAATGTACCTGCGTCAAAGGCTTTATATGCAATTCTTTTCATCCAGCTTTATATGCAATTCTTTTCATCCAGCTTTATATGCAATTCTTTTCATCCAGCTTTATATGCAATTCTTTTCACCAGCATGAAACCAAAACAACTCGCGCTGCATTGTTGAGTTAGCATGTTAATGCTAGCGATCTTTACTATGCTCGTATCTTCACACTGTAAATTTACCCGAAATGACCGTGATCTAGAAGTTAAGCAATGAGTACAGTATGTTGTTCTTCTTTTTTCTAGTCCCTCAATTAAACAACTTCAATACGCAAGGGGAGGAGTCTGCCTGCCATCCTAGCGATATAAACAAACTGAAGACAGGACTCGGAAAACTCGGAAAACATCACAGACAGTGGGACTCGGGTGTTACACCCATTGTAGACAGTCATGACTCAGAGTTATTTTCAGAGGATATACTTGATTTCTATTACATTTGAGTGTGAAAAATTGCATATAAAGCCTTTAAAGGATTGAGCGACTGAGCTTATAATTTTCTTTAAACAGCTGATTAACAATTGTTACAAAGGGTTAAATGTTCCTCAAACTGCGCTGCAGTGCAAACTGTGTCTCTGTGCGTCGATTCTGTTTGTTAAATGATCCATTATTCAGTCATTTGAAGAACAATCATCTCTTTTTCTATAAATCAGCCTCATTGTAAAAAGAGTCTAACTCACAGACAGGGGGCGCTAACAGCCATGCACAGTTGCCGAAGTATTTATATGAGATGTGATGCTCAAACATTCCAGAGATCTGGAAAACCACCTCTGTATGTCTTCAAAATGAAAGCTCTGTAAATAAATTCTGTAAATATGACTATTATTAATATAAACACTGAGGGGTTAAATCAGTCCGGGACTGTCAGCAGCTTTGTCCTCTTTAAAAAGTGTCAAAAGTTTCTCATCTTTATGTGGACAGAACTGAGCTCAGTCATTATGAGAGTGGAACTCCGTCAGTGTGAGAGTGCAGCCCCGTCAGTGTGAGAGTGCAGCCCCGTCAGTGTGAGAGTGCAGCCCCGTCAGTGACAGTGCAGCTCCATCAGTATGAGAGTGCAGCTCCATCAATTTGAGAGTGTAGCTCTGTCATCATGAGAGTGCAGTTCAGTTAGTGTGAGAGTGCAGCTCCATCGTCATGAGAGTGCAGCGTCATCAGTATGAGAGTGCAGCTCCATCGTCATGAGAATGCAGCTCCATCAGTGTGATAGTGCAGCTCTGTCACTGTGAGAGTGCAGCTCCATCGTCATGAGAGTGCAGCTCCATCACCATGAGAGTGCAGCTCCGTCACCGTGAGAGTGCAGCTCCGTCAGAGTGAAAGTGCAGCTCCATCAGCGTGAGAGTGCAGCTCCATCAGCGTGAGAGTGCAGCTCCGTCAGTGTGAGAGTGCAGCTCCATCAGTGTGAGAGTGCAGCTGAGTGAAGCTGCAGATATCTTCTCTCCGCATTCAAACACTAAAGAAGAGCTAACTGTGTTCGTGTCTGAAGATCATCAGAGCTTTGAGAGTTAGACTCTCTCTCCGAGTTAGACAGAGATGATAGAGAACATGATGAAAGAGTTATCAGAGACCATTATGTCGGTGTGCGTGTATGTGTGTGTGAGTGAGTGTGTGTTTGTGTGTGTGTGTGTGTGTGTGTGTGTGTGTGTGTGTGTGTGTGTGTGTGTGTGTGTGTGTGTGTGTGCTTTGTCAGTTTGTTCAGATGCACAGAGGAATGTTTCACTGAAGCTGACAGCAGTGTGTGAGTGTGCTGGCAGACACACAAACACACAAACAAAGGTTAGAGTTAATTAAACCTGTAATAATCAAACAGCTGTTCTTTGTAAACTGAGAGAGAGATTAAGAATTCCAGCAGAGATTAGAGCGGCTGCTGACACACACACATGCACGCACACACGCGCACACACATACACACGCACGCACGCACACACACACACACACACGTTGTTCTTTTCTTGTGTTTAATTAATATAGGAAGAAAGTCATATTTAATATTGATTAATTAATGAGTACACACTAATTATTTATTTTTATTATTACATCACTGTGTACATTTGATTCTGATTGGCGGATTACACATAGCAACGTCCTGCTGTCCCTTAATAGATAACAGCAGTTACAAAGAACAAATCAAGGCAGAAGCTATGGCTGCAGAGTTAACCACTGCTATGGAAACGGCTCTAACAGTAGATTGTGATGGACTATTTTTTGAGTGGATGAAATATTTTTATTTTTATTTTTAAAAGTCGTTATTTTATTTCAAGTGATTGATCTCTGAAGGCGTGTTGTTGTCCTATCGGCTGAAACAAATCATCAATGTGACAAACACTTACTGATTCTGTTCGATCGGGAACAAGCCAAAACCTCCTGATCTCTGATCCTGATCCTGTTCTGATGGATCCTGTCCTGGTGGGTCCTATCCTGGTGGGTATTGTACTGGTGAGTCCTGTTCTAGTGGATCCTGTCCTTGTGGGGTCCTGTTCTAGTGGATCCTGTCCTGGTGGATGTTTCTCTCTGTCTCTCACTTTCTGTATTTCTGGTCAGACTGAGAGGACAAAGCTTTATTGTGAGCTGGAGGGAAGGGGGGTGGTCATTTCAGTCAGCGTGTACTCAGCTGTCTGCAGTGACCCCAAACACACACACACAAGCACGCATGCACGCACGCACGCACGCACACACACACACACACATACACACGCACACTATAAACCCTGTTGTGTAAACAAAGTTTGGAAAAATAAATGCAGTTTGTTTCTAATGACTAGAGTTCGTTCTCACTGGGTGCTGAGAGTTTATATAATACAGGCAGAAACCTGGATCAGAACCAGACTCATGTTGAAAAGACAGAAACCTGGAGCAGAACCAGGCTCATGATGAACAGACAGAAACCTTGGGCAGAACCAGACTCAGGTTGAACAGACAGAAACCTGGAGCAGAACCAGGCTCATGATGAACAGACAGAAACCTGGGGCAGAACCAGACTCAGGTTGAACAGACAGAAACCTGGAGCAGAACCAGGCTCATGATGAACAGACAGAAACCTGGGGCAGAACCAGACTCAGGTTGAACAGACAGAAACCTGGGGCAGAACCAGATTCATGATGAACAGACAGAAACCTGGGGCAGAACCAGACTCATGATGAACAGACACAAACCTGGACCAGAACCAGGCTCATGATGAACAGACACAAACCTGGGGCAGAACCAGGCTCATGATGAACAGACAGAAACCTGGGGAAGAACCAGACTCATGTTCGTATAAACCTAAAGGCCTATAGCAGCATAACAAGCAGCATAACAGCCCTAACTATATGCTTTATCAAAAAGGAAAGTTTTAAGCGTATTCTTAAAAATACAGTGTGTCTCCCTCCCAGACTCTGACTGGTAGATGATTCCAGAGGAGAGTGGCTTGTTAAGTGAAGGCTCTACCTCCCATAGTACATTTAGAGACTGTAGGTACCACGAGCAGGCCCGATAACTGAAGGCTCTACCTCCCATAGTACATTTAGAGACTGTAGGTACCACGAGCAGGCCCGATAACTGAAGGCTCTACCTCCCATAGTATATTTAGAGACTGTAAGTACCACGAGCAGGCCTGATAACTGAAGGCTCTACCTCCCACATTACATTTAGAGACCGTAGGTACCACGAGCAGGCCTGATAACTGAAGGCTCTACCTCTCATAGTACATTTAGAGACTGTAGGTAACATGAGCAGGCCTGGTCTACACTGATCGTGCAGCCAAAGCAGTTTTACTAATTTGTTGACGTCCCTCTTAGCTGGATAGACCATAATGTCCTTATGGCTGTATGTGACCAGGGATCAGGTCAGCCTTCATGACTGTGAAACAGGGTTGGAAATTAGCACCTGTCACCCGCCAAATACGGGTGATTTTTTTGCAGTGATGGGTGAATTTGCTCAACGTCACGTTGGTGGGTAAATAAAAATTACATAACAGAGTGCTTTGTGACAACAAATGGCATTAAATTAATCCCCGCGTCGGCTCTGACTTGATGAGAAGACACAGTCGTTCATATGGCCCACAGGGCTCCGCCTCCTCCTCGGGTCAGTGTTTACAATGATAGGCTATCTGCTGAAATGGCTTGACTCTATGTCTCTTTAGCCAAGCGCATTCCGGATTAGCATCTAAATTTCAGAAGGTCTACCTGCTAAACGTGTGTTTAAACCGATGCCTCCCTGTCTTAAGTCCAAGATGATTAAAAGAAGCGGGCCATGGCGGTGTTGGGGACAAGTGATCAAAAGAGCAGCTGTAAATACTTTCACTCCTTACAACCTTATCGCTAATCTTAGCTCCACTAAAACTTCTTCCGCTTAATAATAAATGCATTCGTTATCCGATAAGGTCTTCACAATAAAAGTTCCAAGTTTAAATGTCGATGACAGACTTTTATTGTGAAACAGTGATATCAGGAAATGGGGTACTTTCAGTGCTAACAACTTAACACAGACGCAGGAGAGAAACAAACCTTTAAACCTCACAGATTCAGTTAGAAGCTACATCCTCCTTAGAGGTGAAAACAGTAACTAAACGACTTTCTAAATGAAATTCTTTCCAGCAGAAACTTGTATGTTTGTGCTGACTCTCCAGATTTAAGTTCATATGCTTTTAAAACAACACATGGATTATCTTGCCTCTCAGTCGAGCTTAGGTGCAGCTAAATCAGACTTTAAGAACATAACTGAATGGAAGCTCTTGAGAGATGAAGAGGATGCCAGTATTTTCTTCAATAGCTGAAGGAAATTCCCTTTATAAAATAATAAATTATTGAAATACTGTAAGCCTTGATTTGATATTATTCGTCATGACATTTTACTGCCGGTAAAAAACTGACATGTAAAAAAAATTATTGACGGCTAGATTTTTGAATCCACCAGTCACAGTTGCAGGTAGGCGAAAAATTTAATTTCCAACCCTGCTGTGAACGTATACTCCTTTCTACTGAGGATGTATGCTAACAATAGAGTCATCCTCAGACCAGGCTCTGACAGCTGAACTCTCAGAAAACATCTTACTATAGTTCATGACCGCATCTGGATCATGTAGCATAGCTTTACGCCTAGAGTGAAAGAATATAGTTTCATCTCAAAGTATAGATTAATATCATACAGTATAGTAAGAAATCACTATGTATGAAATAAAAGTCTATATAAATTCAACTCAGATTTAAAAATTATAGAATTGAAGGGCAATAAAGAAGTTATTCAGCTTTTAAAAACTTTCTTTGATTAACTAACAGATGATCAATCTCAGTGAAGAAGAAACACTTCCTGGTTTTTGTGGAAGAACTGGAGATTCAGTCATTTGACTCTGAAATGCTTCCCTCTAGTGCCCACTTGCTGCAAACACACACAGTGGGCATATCTCAAACTGCTCCTTCCACACTCACACTCCTCCCAGAGTGATCTCAATCTGATGTCACACAGCTGACTTCAGGTGAAGGGGATAACTATAGCAGCAAAAAGAACTTTATGTTACCATGGTTTCATGTAACTCAAATATAAGTTGTCCTCACACATAACTTTAGGAATACTCATTTAAATAACTTAACAATGTTTGAAAACAGATATTGTAAGACTATCATCTTCCGGTGGAGAGAGGTGATAACGGGCGAGATGTTTGTGTAGAGACGCTGGAGACCACTAGAGTCTGTCTTCTGCAGTGAGTCAGTCCCCATAGAGCCCAATGTTAAAATGTCCAACTTTACAGCTGCAGTTCCTCCAGTGTCCACTAGAGTCTGTCTCCTGCAGTGAGTCAGTCCCCATAGAGCCCCATGTTAAAATGTCCAACTTTACAGCTGCAGTTCCTCCAGTGTCCACTAGAGTCTGTCTCCTGCAGTGAGTCAGTCCCCATAGAGCCCCATGTTAAAATGTCTAACTGTACAGCTGTCGGGTTGAATGTTTATACAACATACTGTACATTATATTAAGACTGTCTGAGTGTGTGTAATTTTTTTGTGTGTGTGCGTGTGTGTGTGTGTGTGTGTGTGTGTGTGTGTGTGTGGATGGGTGGGTGGGTGTGTGTGTGTGTGTGTGTGTGTGTGTGTGTACCTCAGTGAGGCAGCTGGGCCCACATCCAGCAAGGGGGCTGGTCAGAGGCAGGACCAGCAGCTACCTCCCTGCTCTCCCCTCCTCCCACTCTTTCTGTCTCTCTCTGTGGAGGATGGAGGTCTAAAAGCAGGGAGGCAGAGTCTCAGCCTGACACTCTGCCTAGTGGTGCCTTCACTGCTCATGTGCCTTCACTGAGTCTCGGACCCCCCTCTTTGAACCAATGACGCTAAAACTGGACTCTGTTCTCCTGTGCTCCCCCAGCTCAGCCAGATGAACACACACAGGAGAGGACTTACAGCCAAGTAAGAAAAACCAACCACACAGCTTTGAGAGCAGGCGCTTGATCAGACCCAACGTCTCTGGAAACCTGCTGAGATTGTCTGGAGTTAGATGTCAGAGAAACAGAGTCAGAGTGATACCTAATGTGTGATGTAATGTGACTGTAAATGATCCAATTATACACAAAACATGTTCTGCACGTTTTATTACTCAGTAACACAGACACATGCAACCACAACTTCACTGGTCAGAGCAGTGGTAGAGTTGGTCGTCTCTCAGCCCAAATGTCAGGTTTGATGCCCAGCTTCTGCTACTACATGTTGACACTTAACCTTAAGTTGCTCCTTCTGCTTGTGTGTATGAATGAATGAGTTAATACTGATGGACTCTTTACCCAGCAGCCTCTGCCATCAGTGTGTGAATGTGTATGAATGGATGAGTTAATACTGATGGACTCTTTACCCAGCAGCCTCTACCATCAGTGTGTGAATGTGTATGAATGGATGAGTTAATACTGATGGACTCTTTACCCAGCAGCCTCTACCATCAGTGTGTGAATGTGTATGAATGAATGAGTTAATACTGATGGACTCTTTACTCAGCAGCCTCTACCATCAGTGTGTGAATGTGTAGCTGTTTCTCAAGTGTTCTCTGTGTTGTTTCTTGATGTGTGTCTGTGTTGTTCCTTGTTGTGTGTCTGTGTTGTTCCTCGATGTGTGTTTGTGTTGTTTCTTGATGTGTGTCTGTGTTGTTCCTTGCTGTGTGTCTGTGTTGTTCCTTGTTGTGTGTCTGTGTTGCTCCTGATTGCGTGTCTGTGTTGTTTCTTGCTGTGTGTCTGTGTTGTTCCTCATTGTGTGTCTGTGTTGTTCCTCATTGTGTGTCTGTGTTGTTCCTCGTTGTGTGTCTGTGTTGTTCCTCGATGTGTGTGTTGTTCCTCGATGTGTGTCTGTGTTGTTCCTCGTTGTGTGTCTGTGTTGTTCCTTGTTGTGTGTCTGTGTTGTTCCTCATTGTGTGTCTGTGTTGTTCCTCGTTGTGTGTCTGTGTTGTTCCTCGTTGCGTGTCTGTGTTGTTCCTCATTGTGTGTCTGTGTTGTTCCTCGTTGTGTGTTTGTGTTGTTTCTTGTTGTGTGTCTGTGTTGTTCCTCGATGTGTGTTTGTGTTGTTTCTTGATGTGTGTCTGTGTTGTTCCTTGCTGTGTGTCTGTGTTGTT